CTTATGATCCTATGAATCCTAATTATCTATATTCATAAATATTCTGACCGTATCTTTGGGTTGGTTGCCTGTCTCTCTGTGGATATCTCCTCCCTTGTACTTTTTTTCACCGTCTTGGTTGATTTCATCAGCTACATCATCACTTAAGTCACCTCCCATGTTATCACTGTCTTGCCACTCTTCCTTAACAGGTTGTGGTTGAATCTTTTTGTAAAAGGAAATATTCCGGGTGATGGAATGGACGTGAAGCGGTTACCATAGTGCCATTAATTTTAGTGATCCGATATGGTTTAGGATCATACCGTGTGGAGAATTTGTTGTGTTTTCTTTGACGCACCAGTACAGTGTCACCAATAAACATTTTTGACTCTTTCGCATTTTTTTCACTCGATCTGCATTTGCTTTCATTCGTTCCTTAGCTTTGACGTCATTCTCTCGAACTTGCTTGTCTTTTACAGTGTCCTGCATCTGATGCACTGGGTTTGGCAGTTTCATTTTAATTTTACGATTAAATAAAAGTTCTGCAGGAGAGAACTTGGTTGTACTATGTGGCGTTGCCCGATAATTTAACAAGAAACTATAGAGTTCCTTCTTCCAATTCTTGTGTTCTGTAATCGCTGCTCGAATTGCTTTTGTCATGGGCTCCATGAAATTCTCAGCCTCTGAATTTGCCTGCGGCCACAGTGGTGTTATGCGTTGATGTTCAATACCCTTTCTTGCATATATGTTTTAAATTCTGTGCTAGTGAACGGGGGGCCATTGTCACTTTTAATAATTTGTGGAAGTCCATGGGTTGAAAATATTCGCTCGACAAGGCTCGCTTCTTTGAGACCTTGGAGGACGATCTGCGTAACAACTCCAAGAGGTTTTGGTCTCTTTTCAAACTAAAGACCAAAGACTCCAGCGTGCCAGGAAAAGTCTCGATGGGAGTAGGTGGATCGGACCCTACCTCAATTCAGTCAGCATCCTGCCCTCGTGACATTGTAGAGCTTTTCAATGTGTACTTTTCATCTGTTCTAAACGGCAACGACAATCCAATTGATTCAACAACTCCTCCCTCAACTACCAGTTGCGGATCTGCTCTGTCAGAATTGAACCTTTGCCTCGACGACGTTTTGGTTGTTCTTCAAAACCTTGATGCCGGTAGAGCAACGGGCCCTGACGGTATACCTCCCAGACTTCTAAAAGAAACTGCCCATCAAATTGCTCCATCTTTATGCTCTCTATTTAATCGATCTCTCAATAGTGGCTCTTTACCAGAGGACTGGAAACTGGCTAACATCGTTCCAGTTTTCAAGAAATTAGACAAAACCCACGTTGAGAACTATCGTCCGATTTCACTCCTCTGCATCGTATCGAAAGTCCTCGAGCGCTGCGTGCTGAGCAAGCTGCGTGTTCACTTGTTGGAACTAATTAACACCTCACAACATGGATTTATCCCAGGCAGATCATGTACCACCCAGCTAGTTGAGGTGCTCAATTCCATTGGTTCTCTGTTAGACTCGGGTAAACAAACAGATGTCATTTTCATGGACATGTCTAAGGCCTTCGACAAGGTCAGTCACGCTGCGCTTATCGCCAAACTTGAAAGATATAATATCAGTGGATCTCTGCTCGATGGCTATTAGTAAAACACGGAGCACGGAGCACACGGAGCACGGAGCACACGGAGCACGGAGCACACGGAGTACGGAGCACACGGAGCACGGAGCACACGAAGTACGGAGCAGTAGAAAAACGAAAATCCTTTATAATAAAATACACTGTTTACTATTACAATTTTTTGTTATTATTAACAAAGTTTTTTCGCGTATTACACGTTGGGGAAGTAGGAAAATGGGGCTTTTACTGAAAAACACATATGATGCAAAACCAGGCTGCCAAAAGCCATAGTATTTAAAATGGGATTGTGAAACTCGTTATCTTACATCTATCAAGCTTATGTAGTTATATTATATTCCGATGGGCAACACATAAAGAAACAGTACACTTACTGTAGAAAACAGCCGATATATTTCGTTACCCCTGCCAAAAAATAGCCAAGTATACTCATCTTTCAATGTAGCGGATCGACTGAACATTAAATCTTGTGATGAGAAAAGTGAATTTTCGGTTTATCCTTCGGCTCAGTGACCGGTGGCAGTGAGCTGTACGGCCGGCTAAGTTTAAACCGTTATACAGTACATCATTACTGCTTTCATTTTTTCAATTCGTTTTGAATATTCGGAATCATTCACAATATTATAGAACTGTATAAGATAGCTGTAGAACTATAAATGCTGTAGAATGAAATAAATAAAGAAAAGTAAGTTTTCAAATCGCGGTATTTGCCGATAAATCGGTAATCGCTACAGAAAAACAGAACAAATTACAGTATTAAAATCACACTTTTGTATTTTTACTGTAAGACATGTAGAACATGTACGAAATCCATACAGAAGTGTGTGTGTATTCTATACTTTTGAAACAACGAAATCAGACTTCGGAAAATTTGACCGTATTAAAGCTGCTTTTGGGAATTTAGATTTTAGGTCTTCGTTTTACATGTACCCAGACCAGTAAATATTTTTGAGTTTTGAATTGTGTATAAATCAACACGTACCAACGCCTCAAAGGCGAAAAGGAGGGCAAGATTGTTAGAATTGCTATTGTAAACATGAGCAGTTTCGAGCATAAACATAAAATTGAAACGAGTAATTTTTACACATCTGATTGACTAAATTCAGGAAGCCATTTAAGTGTACGCGTATTTGTTACAATTCCGATCAACTCTGCCGTGCAGCACGGCAGAGCCAGAGGCAGAGTAAATTGTAAACAAATTGTAAGCTTGTGAGAATCAAAGTTCAAAACTCAAAAATATTTACTTGGTACATGTAAAACAAAGACCTAAAATCTAAATTCTCAAAAGTAGCTTTAATACTGTCAAATTTTCCGAAGTCTGATTTAGTTGTTTCAAAAGTATAGAATACACACACACTTCTGTATGGATTTCGTACATGTTCTGCATGTCCTTTATCGGCAAATACCGCGATAAAACGTAGTTTTCTTTATTTATTTTATTCTACAGCATTTATAGTTCTACAGCTATCTTATACAGTTTTATAATATTATAATAGTGAATAATTCCGATTATTCAAAACGGATTGAAAGAATGAAAGCAGTAATTATGTATAACGGTTTAAACCGGCGTAGGCCTTACAGCACACTGCTCACTGGTCACTGGGACGAAGGATAAACCGAAAATTCACTTCTCTCCATGACAAGCTTTTATAATGTTCAGTCGATCCGCTACATTGAAAGATGAGTACTTGGCTATTTTTTGGCAGGGGTAACGAAATATATCGGCTGTTCTCTAAGTGTTTCTTAATGCGTTGGCCATCGGAATATAATATAACCGCATAACTCATAAGCTTGATAGATATGTGACGAGTTTCACAGGCACAATCCTATTTTAAATACTATGGCTTTTGGCAGTTTTGCATCATATGTGCAGTAAAAGCCCCATTTTTCTACTTCCTCAACGTGTAAGACGCGAAAAAACTTTATTAATAAGAACAAAAATTTGTAATAAAAATTTGTAGTAAACAGTGTATTTTATTATAAAGGATTTTCGTTTTTCTACTGCTCCGTAGTTCGTGTGCTCCGTGTGCTCCGTGTGCTCCGTGTGCTCCGTGTGCTCCGTGTGCTCCGTGCTCCGTGTGCTCCGTGCTCCGTGTGCTCCGTGTGCTCCGTACTCCGTGCTCCGTGCTCCGTGTGCTCCGTGCTCCGTGTTTTACTAATAGCCGAAATTTTTTGCTCTGTTTTGTTTTGCACTGAAATAATCGAATTAATAATTAGTAATTAACATTGTAAAATATGTTGCAATAAAGGAAATCAAAGTATCACGGCAACTTTTTTGTCAGTGAATCCAATTGTCAGGATTCCTTCATGTTGTTTATGTTTTTAAAGGATTAGTGTCACACCAGGAATTCGCGGGCTCAAACTCCTGCAGGCGGCCATTTTTCGGGACGAATAGATTAGATGATCTGGAAGGTTTTTACAATCCGTTATATATTTAAACCATCCTTTTATAATCCTTGCTCTTTTTGTCTGATTTTTATCAGAAATGAACCAAACAAGGTATTTTTATCGCTATTTACGTGAAATGTAAACAGTAACAAAAGCCCGCAATGCATGACCCTGACACTAATCCTTTAAATCAACCAAGTCACTGTAGTATCTACTCTGTGACCAAGTGGAAGCACGCATATCTTCTTCTCCCGCTGAAAACCGGTGAAGGCTATTTCAGATACGGTAGAGCACCTATAGTCCCCAGGCCTTTACCGGCGCGGCCGCGAAATTCAATATGGCGCCGAGCTAAGGAGTGGAGTTTAATGAAGTTTATATTCTATATTTTCTACTGTTGTTTTTTGACGTTTTTCTTCTTTTTGGTTGGTAGAACTTATATTGTGAAATGTCAGATATGTTACTCTTTATCTGAAAAAAGATTTTATAACAGAATGTTTCTCAAACATAATTTAACATAGTTTCACAAAGTTGTACACTTATCTGTACGGATACTGAGTGAGTGATGGTTATGACCGAGTTGTCCATTTAACAATGAAATCAATTGATACTATTTTACTCAAGTTGGCAAGCTACGAGCCTACAATTAAATAATTACTTGGCTTGATGAAGATGATATACAATACATGACAATGTGGTCACAATGAATTGACAACATTCTATTAGCAGTTTTAGAAAGTTAAACTGTCAGACGATATTTTATCATATCAATTATAAAAAATAAAGTGATATAACTGAATAGTGGAAGAATATTGCTTCCATTTTCAAATTATAATGTCTTACAGGCAGGTGTGTAGCAAGAGCAAGGGGGGGTGGGGGGTAATGGACTAAAGGTTCCACCTCACTCACAAACATTATGAATGTGAGAATGCCATGTTGCCTTTGTGAAAAAAAGATTATGATTCTGGGAAAAATACCAACATGGGCAAATTTGTTTAATTAAACAACATATATGCACTGCAACAAATCAGATACAGACAAGCACATCATACGAGGCTTGCTAAGAACATTTTCACACTCATAAGTGATAAGTGAGTACACTGTTGAAAAATATTCAAGATCAAACAAGTTATTGTCACATAAAAGAACACATAATAGAGTCAAACCTTATGAATATCATGTCTAGCTGTAATGAATTCAGGTATTCAAGTACTTCAGCACGACATAAAATAATACATAGTGGGAGACAAACATGAATGTCATGTTTGTCATTAACATGCAGTTATTATAGGGTGTAGTGGACTAAGCCACCCCCTTTAACATTACACAATACAATAATTCATTGCATGTAAAATACAATAACTCATTGCATGTAAAAGCTACAGGTGAGCCATGTATTCCATAGAATGCAAAGTATTTAAATAACTATTTCTGGGTTAGATTTTAAGTTATTGTTTTTAAGAAGTTAAAACTGATCACATAATCAATCTACTTTTTGGGTCAAGGATAACCTGCAAAAATAGCACTTTCCATTTATTTCACTCCTTGAAATTCATGAAATTCACACTCTAATATTAAAAGTCCAAACATTGATATTTATACACTAGGGGCATATGCCGGCATATGGTGTACTCATTTCCCAGAATATTAATTATGGGTACTGGGTAGGATGAAGTCTCAGTGCTTCCCGTGAAAGGCCCCTTTAACATACTGTTCAGAGGGTCAACAGGGAGAATTATTTTAGAATTTTATGTGTATTATGTCCGTATAATACCAATGGAGATCTCTAGATCGTTGGCATTATGATTTATGAGTCCATGCTATTTGTGATTATTGAAATCAGAACTCTAGACATGGTATTAAAGTTCAAAAACTTTTTTGACCCCCTTTCTCTAGGTTAAAACTTTTTTG